GTCGACCCATGGATAATTCATGCTTCTCCATGATTAGAACTTCGACCTTGCAAACAGCATGAAGAAAAATCAATTGTTTATTAAAGCTATTAAGATGTGAATACATGTAAACAAACGCCAACTGATTTGATGGCTCTTCTTGGACCCTCCAAATGCAACAAGAAAATCTTTCTCCTTGTGATGAACAAGTACTAGGCTAAAACCCTGAACGAAATGACAAACTTAAGAGTCTAAGACAGCACTTTAGAAAACCGTGTGAAAGGCAGAATATCAAGCCCATTAAAATTAAAGAAATTTGAGAGAACTAAAATCTTAAATCTAATCCGGTAACTTTCTTCTACATGACATGCTTTCACTTCCTTTAAGCTTACCAATCTCTGGTGTAAGTGGAAATTAATCACAAATCTAATATGTGCCAGAAGTGACATTTAGAAACCACGCACAGTCAAATGTCCTTCATGGACACAGCAAAAATAATCACAAATCTTTATGTGTCAGAAGTGACATTTAGATGCACAGTCAAATTGTCCTTCATAGACACAGCAAAAAGCTAACACTGGAGCTACAACTCTTAACCATAGAAAGTATCAATTTGACAAAGCACACCTTGTAGGTGGTGATTGAAGTCGGAAGAGATGTACAAGCCACAGACCACTCAAGCTTTAAAACATCAAAGATCAATGTCTCTGCATGTCCTGGAAACAAGCATGTATATATGTTATAAGATAAATGCAAATAAATCCAAGACGAAATTGAAAGAGTTAATAAGCCAAACAAATCATATTGGAACAGTTAACACTTTGCATTAACTGATTTTCAACTGGTTAAAAACGCTGAGCAGCCACAATCTATGGATATAATCAAATAAGAGAGACTGGTCAAAGATAATTAAAGGCTGTTCATACGCTTTTTCCTGCTTCCTCCCCCTGCTATATACCACTGAGTTCCACATAAAACTCCACAACAACCAGCTCTTGGAGATGGGTGAAAACCCCGTATCTTTATTCTCGACCATATCATCTGAGAGAAAAAAAAAAGTTTCTAAGTATCGTGGCGAGGAAAAAGATAATTGCATCAGTAAAATATCAAATTTGTTTAGAAAAATAGACAAAATTGTTTGGATAAGTAACCGTCTAACATCTGCAGTAAACTTGAAAGAGGCGTCAATACCGTTTCAAAGTCAAGTGAGTACAAGTCATTCAATGTTTTGGACTTTGATGCTCCTCCAAAAATGAGGAGGGTTTTATCATCATAAAGAGCAGCCACATGGTTGGTTCTTGGAGATGGTCCAGTTCCTCTGATCATAAAAGATTTATGTCATTGCTTTTGAAATCACTTGTCTGAACATCCTAGATAGGGTAATTAAAGGGATGAAATTTAATGTTTAGTATAAAGGAATGCGAACCACTATTCGCAAACGTTTGTATTTACCACATACCTCCAGCGGTATAACAAGCAAGTATGAAGAGTGTTAATCAGATGAAACATTAGGT